TAATTCACAAATGAAAATAAAATTACAAAAGAGCTATCATTTAGAATACACTGATTTATAAATTATAAAAGCACAGTGTATCATTTTATTATTGTGCACGATGTACGCTATTAAAATTTTCACTTTAGATGCAACTGAAACTCACTGTCGAAATTATATATTCGATAATACTGCGAAAATGCTTCGGAATTTGGACGATCGAAATTCTGATGGCAAAATTCCAGGTGCCGATATTCTAAGATATCACGTACATCTATAAGTAAAAATATAGAGAAAGCATGATAGAACACAAAAAGTAACAATGAAACAAGTATTCTGATGATTTATTTAATAATTATCAGTATGAGAAAATACATTGTGTTTAACCAGGTTAAATAATCATGTTTCAAATTTCTTGCCATATCACAGTGACTATATATCAATAAAATAAGATATAAATAAACGTGAAAAAACTTAATCTTCATCTTTTATGTATCAAAATTATTATTTCAACATAAATATGATAGCTGTTGCAATTTTTCTATTATTTTTAACAGAAACGGTACTCTGTCAGAATGCTTGTACATTGACTCAGCCTGATATACTTGGACCATATTGGATACCCGGTTCACCGACGAAAAAGGATGCTGTCTGCGATAATTTACCGGCCCATGACGTACTTGTATTGACGGGAAGAGTTCTTGACTTTGATTCAAAATGTGGAAAAGGTATTAGTAATGTTAAGCTTGATATCTGGCAAGCGAATATGCAAGGAGTCTATTCAGCTGGAAAATCCTCTGCGGACTGGTATTGTCGAGCTATTATTTTTCCTGACAATGATGGAAATTTCAAAATTTCAACTTTATTCCCTGGACGTAAGTTTGAATAACAGCAATATCTGCCTTCCACTGTTGCTCGTTCCTTTCACACAGCTCATAACGTGCGGTTGCCAATCTATTCTCTTACTTTTGTTTAGGTTATGATGACGGCGGTTATCGACCAGCACACATTCATTTCAACGTAACGGCTCCAGGTTACCCACAATTGGTAACTCAATTATACTTCAAACAAGATACCTATCTCTCTCCACGCGATTCATGCCAAAGATGTCGAAGTGATTCTCAATCACTCATAGCAACTGTTACCCATGTAAATGATATTAAAACATATGTGGGCAACTGGGACATTGTTTTATCGAAAACGACACGACCAAGAATTGTAACAAAATCTAGTGTGGTTCGCGGTTCATACGTTGATATTAAACCACATATCATGCAAATTTAAATTGTAAGATGATGGAATTATAACTTTCTGTCATAGTTTAGGATGCCTTGTATTGTGTTATTTAATCTGCCAATAAAGGACGGGGGACAATAAGATCCAAAATTGACCCATGTTTAAATCAGTCTTATGTGAATATCTGATGCAGTTATTGTCCGCGATCAACGCTAACATATTTTTAGATCTTAAAAGTCCTTTTCAGCGCCCCTGGAAACATTTTAGCAAAAGAAACTCTTCTCGCGTTAAACCACTTTTACTCAAAGGATTTGCATTATTCCACCTCTTTCACCTAGACCAAATATCAACTATTATACACCGCTCGACAGAGAATTTCACGGGCTACACAATGATATATAACATAGTCTGAAGAAAATGTAAATCAGTAGTCTAAGATCGAAAATGCCGATGGATTTTCGATAATTGCATATACATTATAATATATTGAGTAAAAGCGACAATGGCGGAATTCCGGTGGCGAAATGCCAGCTGGTGATCCTCCATTTTACCATAGACATTGTGCAATAAGTTTTGTGAATTT